AAAAAAAAAACAAAAAACAAAAAAAAAGCGCCTCACAAGACTTTCTAGTCCCAGCTGGCTTTGAACCACCATCCTCATATCTCAGCCTCCTGAGTAGCTAGGGTTACAGGCACCTGTAACTGGCACCTGGCCCCAATCTTTTCTTTTTTTTTTTTTTTGGTCGGTTGTGGGGCCTGAACTCTGGGCCTAGTGCTCTTAGGAAGAAGTGCCTAAGAGGCTGAGAGGCAGAAGCAGAGAGCCGCAGGTGATCTCTTTCAGAGGACACCCATCTGGTACCGGGCGCAGTTTCCTAAAGCATTGCTTCCCAGGAGGAAGGCAGAGCCCACCTGCCAGGATGGTGAGAGGCCAGTGCATTGTGGGTGATGCCCTCGCTCTGGTGCAGCCCACAGGTGTCCCAAAATGCTTCAGGTTCAGAACCTTCGGAGGACTCCAGGCATAGGCCCAGCAGCGCAGGCGGGTTGTTGCCTCTGACCCCGTCCTGCCTCAGCGATGGTGGCACTTGGAAGAAGAGAAGAGCCTCAGAAACCTGGAAGTCAAAAATGCCAGCTCAGCACCCAAGAAACAGGTTTTAGGGGACAGTTCCCACCCCAAGACCCCTGCCCTTGAGAACCTGCAGCCTCCACCCCTGCTCCAGTGCTCAACCTGCATCAAACGCTGCTCCCAACAATCTCCACACTAGTGCATAGTGAAGATGTTACCAGCCTGTTTTACAGAGAAGGAAACTGAACTTCAGCCCAGTGAAGTCACACGACCAAGGTCACACTAGTCATTGAGGAAGCAGCAGCACAGCCTGCTTCCAGCTCTTCCCTCTGAGCCACCATTAGTTAACGCTGGACACAAGCCGTGGATTTGCATTCGATTTGCATAAAGGGAGTCACAATACACAAATATACACAAATATCTCCCCCTATACTGTCCCTCGCCACCCTCCCCTCCCCTCCCATCCAGGCTCTTCCTCCTCGAGCTGCCTGGCAGGCTAGGCAGTGCCATCTGGTCCCTCCCTCTGCCAAGCACGCTTTTGCTGGATCTGGGTGTTCCTTCTTAGCACTGCAGTGTGCTGAATCGGGGTATTGCCCCATTGCTACCTGCAAGGCTTAGACCAGGGTACCCGCAGCAAGGGCATGGGGTGGGCACGTGGGATGGTCCCCGGACCCAGACCTCCGGCCTCAGCTGTCCATCTTCAGCCCCAGATTTAGCTAGCTTCCCACCTCCCACGCCGCCTGCTGCCATCTGGGATGCCAGAGGAAGGGGGGGAGAAAGACATCCTAGCAGGCTGAGAGTGAAGGACAGGCTGGGCACAGAGAGGTAGGCAGGGCAGCAGCCTCGGTGACCCCTGGCAGCCCACACTGCTCCAAACGGCAGCCACAGGCTCCGTGTGACCATTGAGTCATCAGACTTTTAAATTTTGGTATAAAAATATCTATCTATACATCTTACCAGTAACTTTTTTTTTCCTGGTCCTACGGCTTGAACTCAAGGCCTAGGCACTGTCCCTGAGCCTCGTTGTGCTCAAGCTAGTGCCCTAGCACTTGACCCACAGCGCCACTTCCGGCTTTTTCTGAGTGGTTAATTGGAGATAAGGGTCTCATGGATTTTCCTGCCCCAACTGGCTTTGAACTGTGATCCTCAGATCTCAGCCTCCTGAGTAGCTAGGATTACAGGTGTGAGCCACTGATGCCTAGCGTTATTTACTCTTAATAATTCTCTTGGTAGTTATTACCCTCATTTCACAGAGATAATGTCAGAAATTCAGAGGTTCTGTAACCTGCCCAAGGTCACACACTAGGTGCTGGGATTGGCATCTGAATCTGCTTTAAGCACTACTCAATGCTACTAAAGTAACATGTGCCCCCTTCCTCTTCCTCAGACCCGCCATTCTGAACAGCGCCCTGTTGTCACTAGTTTCCTGTGGGCCTGGCTGCTCCTGTATCTCCAGGTCCCAGCATGCAGAACTCTTCAGCACAAAACCTGGTCTCCACCCAGTCTGGAAACTTGGCCTCAGGCCGGGCCTCAATTTCAAACCAAAGTGCAGTCACAGCCCAACGGCTCTCCAAGACCCCCGCAGTGTCCTCAGGCCCACTTGATTCAAAGTCCAAACTGTCAAATGTCCATCGCATGCGCCGGCTCATCGCCGAGGACCCTGAGTGGTCTCTGGCCATCGTGCCCCTCCTCACAGAGCTGTGCATTCAGCACATCGTGACGAACTTCGAAAGTGAGTCTACCCAGTTTGGGGTGGGAAGGAACAGACCAAGAGGGCAGAGAGGGCAAAGCTGGGTCCTTGGTCCTCTGCTCTGGACAGCGCCCCCTGTTGACCTTCCCATGCTGTGCCCTCCTTGTCCACTTACATACAGGAAACTCAGCCTGAGCTGCATCTACTTCCTCCAGGAAATCCTCCAGTCATCAGTCTCTACTTCACGGTCTTCTATGAATGAATGGGCTCCTGGGCTGTTCTATACTTCGTGGTAATTGGCCAGCTTCTCTGACCTGATGAGAAGTTTACTGAGGACAGGCATCGTTTTGCCTGTCATTTGGCCTCCTGACCTTGCATATATTCCTGTCATATATATCCTGTTATATTCCTAGATTATATAGTCCTGCTCACTGTTGGCTCCCCCAAACCTCCTGATTGTAAATTTCAGGACAGGGCTTCCACCGCCTTTATTCATTTATGCATCTCTTCGCACTTCAGCACACAGTAGGTATCCAAGCAATAGATTTGTTTTTATGTTTTATTTTTCAGTGCCAGGAATGGGGCTTGAACTCAGGACACAGACACTGTCCTTGAGCTTATTTTGCTCAATCTTGGCACTTTACTGCTTGAGTCACAGTTCCACTTCTGTTTTTTTTGGTAGTTAATTAGAGATGAGAATCCCATGGACATTCCTACCTGGGCTAGCTTCAAACCACAAACCTCAGATTTCATATTCCTGAGTAGCTAGGATTACAGGCATTGGCACCAGTGCTGGACCACACACACACACACACACACACACACACACACACACACCATACACACACACACCATACACACACACACACACCATAGAGTCAGTTGTGAGGCTTGAACTTAGGGCCTGGGCACTGTCCCTGAGCTCTTTTGCTCAAGGCTAGTGTGCTACCACTTTGAGCCACAACTCCACCTCCAGTTTTCTGGTGATTAATTGGAGGTAAGAGTCTCAAGCACTTTTCTGCCGATGCTGACTTTGAACTATGATCCTCAGATCTCAGCCTCCTGGGTAGCTAGAGAGATACCAGCACCTGGCTATACTTGTTTTTATATTTGTTTGTTTAATTATGGTAATCCTGGGGCTTGAACTCTAGGCCCAGGTGCTATCCTTTGCCTTTTGTGCTCAAGGAAATCACACTACCACTTGAGCCTCAGCTCAACTTTCAGCCTTTTTTGTGGTTAATTGGAGATAAGAGTATCACAAACTTACCTTCCTATCCTAGCTTCCGACTATGATCCTCAGATCTCCGTCTCTTGAGTAGTTAGAATTACAGGTGTGAGCCACCGATGCTGGACCCTGTATTTGCTTTTTTTTTGATCAGTCACGTGGCTTGAACTGAGGTGCTGGGCGCTGTCCCTCAGCTCTTTTGCTCAAGGCTAGCACTCTAGCACTTTGAGCCACAGCTTCACTTCGGGTTTTCTGGTGTTTAATTGGAGATAAGAGTTTCTCGGCCTTTCCTGCCTGGGCTGGCTTCGAACTGTGATCTTCATATCTCAGCCTCCTGAGTAGCTAGAATTACAGGCATGAGCGCCCAGCACCCAGTTTATATTTGCATTTAAATTCATGAATCAAGTCAGACCCACCCGGAACCTCTGGATCAGGGACTGCCTCTTCTATCAATCAGATGACGCAATGACTGGGATTGGACCCGACAGTCCTTTCTTACCGAGGGCTCCCTGAGATCCGGTGTGCCACCTGGCTGCAGTCAGGGAAGCCCCCTTAAGGCCACAACTGGCTCAGGAAAGCAGAGTCTGTTTCCACTGGGTGCCCTCAGCACCCGGGGCAGGCCCCGACACCGTATCATCTTGTCCCCAACACTGACTTCTCTCTTCCCCCTCTGCTCCCAAAGAGAACCCTATCCTGACCGAGCTGCTCCCGGAGCACCAGCAGAAGGTCCTGAGCCGCCTGTCACCTGACCTGCCCCTGACGGTGACCGCCAACCTGATCGAGGATGAAAGTTACTGGCGCCGCTGCTCCACCAAGCGCTGGGCCGTGTGCCACGTGGCCAAGCACGGAGGCAGCTGGAAGCGCATGTTCTTCGAGAGACACCTGGAAAACGTGCTCCGACTCTTCATCCCAGGCACCACAGACCCCAGCGTGATCCTCGACCTCATTCCCCTCTGCAGGAACTACATCCGACGGATCCAGATGCATCAGTTCCTTCCCCCCGTGCGCCTGCCAGTGCCTCCCCGGGCTGGGGAACAGTCCGACTCCGGCAGTGAGGGAGAGCTAGAAGAGCCTGCCATGGACCACTACCAGCTGGGGAGCCTGGTGGCTGGCCTGTTGCACTTGGAGGAGCTGGACCTGGTGTATGGAGTTAAGGATTGCGGCATGAACTTCGAGTGGAACCTCTTCCTCTTCACCTATCGCGACTGCCACGCGCTGGCGGCCACCATCAAAGCGTGCCACACCCTCAAGGTACCGTCCACCGCCAGGTCACCCCTGGCTCCCCTCCTCAGCAGGTCCTGGATTCTTCCTCCCTTCCCCTTCCTCCTCTATCACCATCCTCTTCTTCACATTTCCTTTCCATTTAATGCAGGTAGGGGTGGATGTAAATGGTTTGTTTTGGGGTAATGTTTTTGAGGGGGTACTGGGGTTTGAACCAGGGCCCCATGCATGCTAAACATAGGCTCAGGGTGTGGGGTGGGTTATTTTTGGTTGGTTGCTGGTGTTTTCTGGCAGTGCTGGGGTTTGGGCTCAGGACCTGGCCACTTGCTTAGCAGACTGTCTGTCATTTGAGCTGCTTGACCAGCCCCTTTTTGTATTAGTTACATTTTTTTTTCAATATTGGCACTGGGGCTTGAACATAGGGCCTAGGCAGTATCCATTATATTTTTGCTCATACCTCTACTTTGGGCTTTTTGGTGGTTAACTGGAGATAAAAAGTCTCATGGGTTTTCTTGCCTGGGCTGGTTTGGAACCTTAGTCCTCAGCTTTCAACATCTTGCATTAAGTAGGATTAGTGTGAACCCCTGGCATCCAGTTGTATTAGTTATTTTTAAAGATAGTATCTCACTTTATGCCTGGTCCACCCTGAACTGTAATCTCCCTTAGTGCCTCTCTTTGTGGCTGGGCAGGCCAATGACAGGGTCTGGCCACTGTGCTTCCTCTGTTCCTTAGAATGACAGCCTTTGGTTGAGATGGAGTCTGTCAAGCTCCAATGCTTGGGCTGGCCTCAACACCTAATCTCCCTCATCTGTGCCTCCCCATGTAGCTAAGATTGCAGGTTTGAGCCACCATGCCTGGTCCAGAGGAGTATTTTTTTTATGCACCCTGCAACCAAGCTAGTGGGTTCTGTGAGTACAGAACTGAAAGAGGCCTGGTGTCCCCAGCTCACCAGCTAAGTAGCAATCCAACAAACATCTGCACCCCAGGCCCTGTCCCAGGTGCTGAAGATGCAGAAATGAGCAAAATTACTGTTTGAGCCCTTTGGAGCTGCAGCCTGGTGGGATGAAAGGCACTAACGAGCAATCACATAAATGGAAAGCTGCAATGAGGCTAGGGTTGCCAGATTTAGCCCATGGAAAGTTTGAAGTTCAGATGAATAACTTTTTAGCAATATATTCCACAGGGCATAGTTGTTTATCTGATATAAGCCTTCCCAGGCATCTTGTTTTAACAAGGCTCTTATTTCTCAGTGCTGTGGATGAGACCCAGGCCCTCACACGTGCTGAACATGCACTGGGCTGTTGAGCTTCCTCTCTCCCAGGTCAGTCCAGCATCCTAAACCTGAATGAATGCTATGAAGAAATGACATTCTGGGGCTGGGAAGGGGACTCAGTGGTAGAGTGCTTGCCTTGCATGCATGAGGCCCTGGGTTCCATTCCTCAGCACCACATAAGTAGTATAAGCCGGAAGTGGCGTTGTGGCTCAAGTGGTAGAGCGCTAGCCTTGAACTGAAGAGCTGAGGGACAGCGCCCAGGCCCAGAGTTCAGGCCCCACAACCAACCAAAAAGAAAAAAGAAATAGAAATGACATTCTTTTGTGTGTATGTGTATGTCAATGCTGGAGCGATAACTCAGGGCCTAGGTGCTGTCCCTTGCCTTTTTTTTTCCTCAAGGCTAGGACTGTACCACTTGAGCCACAGCTCCACTTCTGGCTTTTTAGTGCTTAATTGAAGATAAGAGTCTCACAGACTTTTCTGTCCCAGCTGGCTTTGAACCACGATCCTCAGATCTCAGCCCCCTGAGTAGCTAAGATGACAGGCGTGAAACACTAATGCTTGGCAGAAACAACACTTTTATAAAAGAGTTAAAAAGGGCACTTGACCTTGCTAGAGCAAGTGTCATCTCCATAGAGAGGAGGAGGAGGAAGAAGAGAATGATCAGAGGAATTATTCAAGGGAGATAGGGACCACATTCCAAGCAGGAGAGAACTCTGCACACACTGGCCCAGGCGGGCAGCTAGGAACATGAGTGCCAGATGAGCAGAAATGGGATGAAAATTGTCAAGGACCCTACACTCACCAGGGGAAGAAGACCTCAGTTTAGGAGTCTACCTTTATCCTGAAAAACTTTGGCACACCATCATTGTTATTATGTTTGCCGTTACTATAACAAAATACCCAAGACTGGGTATTTTATAAAGAAGAGATGTGTATTTGGCTTACAATTTTGGTGTCTAGAGAATCCACACAGCCTGGCACCAGCCCCTTCATTTTCTCCTCTGAAGCATGACAGAGAAACAGGAAGGGAAATGGAGGCACACAGAGGAGATCAAGTGGGTACGGTAGCCTCTGCTTATAACCATCTGCTCTTGTCATGAACTATCTGGGGGTCCAAAGAGTACTACATTTAGTCTCCTCCAAGGTCCTGACAACCTTGCACCAACATATAAAAGTTCTACCACCTGTGAAGCTGCCAGTGCATGGGCCGTAGGGAGATGGGACAAATCACAGGAAAACTTTAGTGTATCCAAGGGCATTAGGCAAAAGGGAGGTGGCACTGGGTTGTACGTGTGAAAAGGTCACTGTTTGTGAAGGACAATAATCTAGGTTGAGTGACAGGTACAAGAGGTCCCCTGGAAAACCATTGTCAAATACACATAAAGATGGTGGTATTTTTTGTTGTTGTTGTTGGTCGTGGGGCTTGAACTCTGGGCCTGGGTGCTGTCCCTCAGCTCTTCAGCTCAAGGCTAGCGCTCTACCACTTGAGCTACAGTGCCACTTCCGGTTTTCTGGTGGTTTATTGGAGATAGGAGTCTCACGGTCTCTCCTGCCTGGGCTGGCTTTGAACCGTGATCCTCAGATCTCAGCCTCCTGAGTAGCTAGGATTACAGGCGTGAGCCACCAGTGCCCGGCAAAGATGGTGGTATTATACAGAGATGGAGTAGAAAGAGATAGGCAGTTCGCTGACTGAACTCACTGTAACAGGAAGGCATAGAAGAGAAAGAAGGAGTCGGGGCTGGAGGCTCATGCTTGTAATCCTAACTACTCAGGAGGCTGCGATCTGAGGATCACAGTTCAAAGACAACCTGGGCAGACAAACCCAAGAGAGTCTTATCTCCAAATTAATCACCAAAAAGCTGTGACTCAAGTGGTGGAATGCTAGTCTTGCGCACAAAACCTGAGGGACAATACCTAGGCCCTGAGTTCAAGCCCCAGGATTGGCACAAAACAAAAAACAAAACCCCAGGAGCAGGAAGTAGCAGGCTTCTCACTCATGAGAGCAGATGGCTGGAAGGGCCATTGGCAGAAACAGGGGAGATGGGCGGGGGGCAGATTTTGAGGGGAAGAGCAGTCTAAGGCAGCCTAGACAAGAGATCATCGCTTCAGTAGTTAGGATGAGAGGCTGGTGAGGCTGGGATGAGAGGCCTGAATTGAACATGGGAACACGTGCGTCTTCATGAGCGCGGCCAAGGAAGCATGTATTTGGAAGGAGCTTTGCAAGGTAGAGCCAAATGCCAGGCAAGAGGAATACAGCAGGCGGTGTGGGAAAGAGAGCTTGCCAGGACAGCAAGGAAGAGGAAAGGGCCACATGGCATTGTGTCACAGAGTGTGTGGCTGGCAGGCGTGAGCCACAGGGAAGGATAGCAGCCCTGGAGGTCCTGAGGGAGGATTTCGGTGCAACACCAGAAGCAGAGGGTGGGCAGCAGAGGCTGGGGGCACGCGTGGGAAGTGAGGACGCAGGTGGTGGGACCACTATGTCAAGAACTTCCCTGTGACGGGGGAGCATGACACTGAAATAATGAGCACTTCGGATTTTCTTCAGAAGAAACATAGGTAGCCAGGCATCAGTATAGGCACCCACACCTGTAATTCTCACTACTCAGAAGAGCTGAGGGTTGCTATTCAAAGCCAGCCCAGGAAGGAAAATCTGTAAGACTCCTATTTCCAGTTAACCACCTCTCCCCCTAAAAAGCCAGACAACTGGCAGAGCATCAGCCTTCAGTGTTAAAGCCACAAGACAATGAGTTCAAGCAAGACCCTGAGTTCAAGCCCCAGTATTAACAAAAACAAAGAGAGAGAGAGAGAGAAAGAGGAGAGAGAGGAAGAGAAAGAAAGAAAAAGAAAGAAAAAAGAAAGAAAGAAAGGAGAGAAAGAAATTAGATCTTGTCTTTGTCTTTTAGAACTGGAAGTGCAGCTCAGGGTAGGGTACTTACCATGCCCCATACACCAGGAAAAGAGTTCGTGCTCTTGGCATAGTAGGCCTTGGCCAGCTGAGGCATCAGGCACTGGGTGTGCAGAGCCTCGGGCCTCTCCATGGCTCCCTTCTCTACCTGGCGAGTTATGCGTGACTGGAGGTGTAGTAGAACCTCTCTCTGCCCACAGATCTTCAGGCTGACCCGGAGCAAGGTGGATGATGAAAAGGCTCGCATTCTAATCCGCAGCCTGCTGGACCATCCAGCGCTCGAGGAGCTCGACCTGGCCCACAACCTCATTGGAGACCGTGGGGCCCGGGCTGCCGCCAAGCTACTCAGCCACAGCCGCCTCCGTGTGCTCAACCTGGCCAACAACCAAGTGCGTGCTCCCGGCGCCCAATCGCTGGCTCACGCCCTGGCACACAACACCAATCTCATTTCTCTCAACCTACGCCTCAACTGCATCGAAGATGAGGGTGGCCAGGCCGTGGCCCACGCCTTACACTCCAACAAGTGTCTCACCACGCTGCATCTAGGTGGCAATGAGCTGTCCGAGCCCACGGCCACGCTGCTCGCCCAAGTGCTGTCTGTCAACACCACACTCACCAGTATCAACCTGTCCTGCAACCACATCGGGCTGGTGAGCCATCGCTTTGGGGCAGGCGGGGTGTGACGTGGGCTGCCTGCAGTCTTTGCATACTAGCCCAGTAAGAGCTTTTTTAGGCAAATGCTTCACCCCTTGAGCCACACTTCCGTTTCCAGCATTTTGCTGCCTAATTGGAGGTAAGAGTCTCACAGACTTTTCTACCTGGGTTAGCTTTGAACAACAATCCGTAGATCTTAGCCTCCTGAGTAGCTAGGGTTACAGGCCTGTGCCACCTGTGCTCAGCTTTTCAAAATGTTTCTTTTAGTTACATCTGTGTGTGAATGAACCTGCCTGTGTTCCCAGATAGGGAGGTAAAATGGCCTCTTCCTGACCCCCTCCTCCCTTCCCCAGGACGGCGGGAAGCAGCTTCTGGAAGGCATTTCTGACAACAAGACCCTCCTGGAATTTGACTTGCGCCTGTCGGATATAGCCCAGGAGAGCGAGTACCTCATTGGCCAGGCCCTCCATGCCAATCGAGAAGCTGCCCGCCAGCGGGCCTCGAATCCTGGCCATTTCATATCGCCCATGACAGCCAGCGGCGCTGAGAACTCCATGGGATAAGATGGGACACAGGACGTGGGCAGTAACCTGACGTGGGTCACTGCCCCAGCCACATTCTCATTTCACAATCCTGCTGCGTGTCACCGACTCTGAGGAAGGGGACTGGGAGCCCACAAGTCTACTTGGAGTCAGTGATCAAGGAATATACCAGGGAAGATGTACAGTGAACAGGGGAGAAGAGGTAGGACACAGACATTTTGCTCTTGGGCCCAGTAATGGGGTAATGCCAGCTCCTGCCAGAAATCAGCAACGCAGAGAGGACCCAGCCTTGCCCATGGGGACCACCCAACCCAGCTCCTCTACTCATCCCTACCCTCATGTTCCTCTACTGAGTAATCTTGACCTTCAAACACACTCATTCTCTCTACAGAAGAGCTATGCTTGACTCTTTAAACTCACCCCTGCAGATGCCACCCCACCCAGAAATTTGACTGTGCTTTATGTGACCTAATTTGGGGGCTGCAGCACCCCTTGGCAGTCCCACACGCAAGCTAGACGAGAGACAATGGGTGACTGAACGGCCTAGGCCCAGGGGCCACAAAGCCTCTCGTGGGAAGGAGGGGGAGGAAAGGAGCGCCACGCAGGGACCGGGCGTCAGTGAGTCACCCGCAACTTTATTACCCACCATTTGATTTGTACAATCTTTGCGCTTGGAAATCCACGACAGAAAGGCCACAGTGTGATGCACCCGATTGACAGAGACCTGTCTTCTCCTCAGCCAGGCCCAGCCTTCCCACAAGCCCTTGTGTCCTTGCTCCACATGCAACTTCCCAGGTGCCCTGCACAAGTCCCTGTCACTCCATGGCTGCCCACCCTGGGGCCACACCTGCGCAAACCCCATCAGGCCATAGGGCCACGAAAGGACCTTCACCGATAGATTCAGGCTGAGCCTCATCCCCATTCTCCTAGGCTGAATGGCCCAGAGCCTCTGGACCCATGTCCCCAAAGGGTGGACCATGGCTTGCAATCACAGTCCCAGAGTGGCTGGCTGCTCTCCAGGGACTCCTTCCACCCAGCAGGCGCCGAGCTGAGCACCAGAGGGGGCTCGTGACTGCGATTATGTGCCTGTCCGGGAAACCTACAGTCATCTGTGCCTGACACCCTCTGACAATTCTGGAGTGCAAATGCGTAGGTGTGAGGGTGTATGTGCGCGCGTGTGTGTGTGTATGTGTGTGTGTGTAGCAACAGCTGCTAGCAGAGGTTCTAATTAGAGAAACAAGAACATTCAGTGTAAAGTTTAATTTTAGAGATTAATTTTCTGGTTTTTGTTGTCCCTGGCAATCAATAAAGCTACCAAGAAAATAGACCAAAGACTTGGTTTCTCTCTAAGTCTGTGCGTTGTGTGGGAGGTGAGGCTGTCTGAGACCTAGGTAGAAATGGTCGACAGGCAAAAATAACGGGGGCTGCCCTTCCCCTCTTCCTCAGGCCAGGCTCTGTCTCAGGACCAGGCCTGGAAGAGGAGCGGCCGGGTTCCTCGGTCCTTGGAGCCATGGGGTGGCCTGGCTTCCAAATGAAGACAGGACATTCAGGCACCAGCTGACAAAGAACTGTGGCCTGAGGCCCAGCTCACCACCTGTACCCCACAGATGTCCACTCAGGAAAAGAGGGGTACTCCAACTGCCAGGCTCCCCAGGAGCACAGACTCAGGGTCCAGTGCTGGCAGGTGGGCAGGCACAGCTGCCCAGGTAAACCAGGGAGGCAGCTATGTCCTTGGCCCAACCCCCTTGCTCTCTGGCCTTCCCTTCCCTCCTCACTTAGCCTCCTCCATGTGATCAGAAAACTCAACCCCCCTATAAGCCGTAAGACGTGGTATCCCCACAAGTTGGGCTCCCCATGACCCCCTGGGAAGGCGGGAAGGGGAGCCAGAGGAGATGTTGCATAGGTGGGGGCCACCCCTGTTGGCAGGTACAGGACTGTCAGGGCCAGTGGAAGATGAGAGAGGGGCCGAAGGCCAGGAAGGTGGAGCTGGGATGGCTGAGGCAAAGCACGAGGCATCAGGATCACGGTACCAGGCTAGCCCAAGGGTAGGATCTCCTCTCTAGGCTGAGATGTGGACTCGACCCCTGGGTGCTAAATCTGCTGGGAAAATTTTAGCCAGGGCTACTAATAGGGAGGGCAGAGATTGTACACGGACATGCACACTGAAGTACATCAGAGCAGAAGAGAGGCACAGGGGAGGAGGTGGGTGTCAGAGTTTGGGGGGAACAGGACAGGGGCTGGTGCCCCCGGTGGTGGCAAGACGTCCCTCTGAAGACCCTTGTGTACACAGGGCTTCAAGCGGGCTACAGGAAGATGAAGGGCCAGGCAAGATTTAGAGACCTGCCTCTGACCCTCCCACGGGAACTGCGTATTTCTCCGCTTGGAGCTAGTGACATCGTTAGCCCCAAAGACACACGTGCAAGCAACAAGCATGCTCCACTTCTCCCTCACGCCTGGGGGGGAGGCAAGGCTGCCCTCTGACCCCCCCCCCACGCAGGGGTTAGAGGTCCTGCCCTCTGCTCTTACTCCCATCCGGTTCAAGTTCTCCACACCAGTCCTGTCCCTTGTGCTCTCCGTTCAGTTGCTGGTCCTGGCCAGCTCTAAGGGGTACCACCTGGGTGACATCCGAGCCTCTCTCCAGGGCGCTCCTGATCAGAACCCAGGTGGAGTCTGCTGCGAGGCTGTGGGTGCCCGTCCTCCAGGCTCCCCTCCTCCCACACCCTGGCAACAGCGTTACAAGCACAAGTGTGCCCAGTGCAGCAGTCCCTCCTGGGCCACGACTCCTGGGGCCCAGTAAGATAAACAACAGGGAAGGGAGTGGCAGAGAGGAACCCCCCCCACACACACCAGCACTAACTAGGGCCAGAGCCAAGGAGAGACACCTCCATGGTGTGGGTTGGGTAGGAGCTGCTGCCTGGCCCCCAACACCAGCCCTGCTGTCCATATCTGGCCCCTCCACAGAGGCCCTTACATGGGGAGGCGAGAGGAGCGCCTTCCAGTGTCCTCTCTTCCCCGCAGCCCCTACACCTCCCCACTGCGCTATGGCGACTCCTTCTAGGAGGCCCAAGGCAGATCCGGCAGCCCAGGTTGCCTAATAACAGTCAGAGACGGGTAGGACAGGAATCCTCCGCGTGCCCCATGCGGGAGGCCGCGTCCCCTGGGGGGTCTAGGCGGTACTGGGAGGATGGGTGACGACCCGCCCCCCTCCTGCTCCAGTGCACAGGGAAGTGGGGGTCTCGGCTGATGGGGGTCTACCTGGGCGATCTCCCCTGTCCCGCCCCTGCAGTGCCCGGCCCCGTCCTGCCCTCCCCGTCCCCCGCTATCCACAGGACCGTCCCGGGCTCAGGCAGCAGTCTGGAGGCGCGGGCCCGTCCAGCGGCCCCGAGGTCACAGTGAGGTCTCCACGCAGGAGCCGTGGCGGTGCAGGGGCCGGTGGCTGTGGCCGAGACACCCCTCCTGCCGGTGGACGATGAGGACAGGGAAGTAGAGGGCGTCGTGGTAGGGCGGCGGCGGCCCGGCCTCCTCCTCCTCCTCGTCGTCGTCGTCCCCCATGCTGGCCTGGCTGGACAGCCGCGTCTGCTCGGTGGGACAGCTGGCCTCGTGACGCTCCCGCTCCGGCTCCGCCACAAAGCAGCTGCGCCGGGATCCGTAGAACCCGGCCGAGGGAGAAGCGGCTGCCCCGCGCAGCCCGCGCCGCCGCCGGGCCCCGAGCCGGGCCGCGGGGCTGGCGCAGATGCTCAGCGCGCTGCGCGAGAAGATGGAGGAGCTGCTGGCCGCGCGCTGGCAGTGCTCGCAGCTGCGGCGGAACGGGGCCACGCCCGCCGCGCCCGGGCCGCCCACCCTGCCGTAGCGGCACGAGGGCGCGTAGCCCCCGCCGCCGCCGCCCGCGCCCGCGCAGCGCGCGCCCAGCCCCGCCAGGTCCATGAGCACCGCCTCCGAGTAGCTGGGCACCAGCTGCTGGTTGGAGCGGATGTGCCACTCGAGCTCCGTGCTGTCCACCGTGTTGACGCGGGGCAGGCGGTGCGTGAGCGGGGGCAGCAGCTCGTCGCTGGGGCTGAGGCCGCCCCCCGCGCTGCTGGCCGCCGAGCCCGGGCCCTCCAGGCCGAAGAGCTTCTCCACGTGGTAGTGCGCGTAGGCCGTGCGGTACTCGGCCAGCACGCGCAGCGGCCACGACAGCGTCAGCAGCGCCGCCGCCCAGAAGGCCGAGGAGCAGGCGTACCAGGGCGGCCGCGCGGGGTCCGGGAAGGCCACCATAAACTCCCGGAAGTCCACGTTCTTCAGGTGCATGCCCTCGCGCGCCTCCATGTAGTCGTCCAGGCCCTCGTTCTCGGCGAAGAAGCGTGCGCGCTGGCACAGGTAGGCGTTCTCCGCCTCCACGCTGGCGAAGCTGAAGCACTTGGTGAAGCGCAGCCGCGTGGCCGGCGCCCCCTCCAGCCCCACCAGCGCCTTGGACACATCCCGGACGCCGCAGCGCGCGTAGTCGAACTCCGCCTCGGCCACGTGCGTGTTGACGCGCTCGTGGTAGACCTGTGGGCCCCAGGGGGGGGGGCGAGGTGGAGGTGGCATGGGGGGGAACCAGGGGTGGGTGCCTGCCTCTCACGGCGGACATCCCCCCCTTTGCTCTCCCCCACCCCAAGCCTGGCCCGCCCTGGGTACTGGCTGGAGTTGGATGCTATCTTGCAGTCAAACGTGGAGTAATCAAAACCCCCTCCGAGTCAGAGATGAGAGAGGGACTAGAACCCTGGCCTACCTGGGAGCATCCAGGAAACTCTGCTTCCTGTGGGTCCTGCCCTGGCGACCAACTACGCACCCCCTGGCTTGCCTGTTTCTGCTGTCGCTTGGTCTGGTCCCATCCACCCCCTCACCATGCAAACAGCCTCTTCTCCCCTGAGCCCTCAATGAAGATCCCGAAAGCCCCTGACTCTAGGCTCCCATTCTGGATGTCATCCCTCAGCCTTCTTGCTTCTGCAGCCATATTAGACCCCAGTGGGTCTAATCCTGGAATCGAGGATGGATTGCCCTGCGACTCTCCATATGTCCGTCACCCCCTCTGTGCTATAAGAGCCTGGATTTGAGACTAGCACTGCCACCCAGGAACTGCCAACCTGGGGCAAGTCTGCACTTACCAAGGAAGGACCTCAGAAGCAATCTGCCTCAGTGACTCCAGCCCCTGCCAGAGACTGTGTGAAGCCATCTACAGCCATTAAGTATTAAACAGGCTTACACCCTGGAGCCCCATGGCTTCGGGTTTTTCATCTCCTCCACATACTAGCTCTTTGGCCTTGAGTAAGTTACTTAATTGTTGTGTGCCTCAATTTCTTCATCTGTAAGGTAAGGCTACACCCATTTCAGAGCCTTAGAATGATGTTACGTAAATGTCTTCATATTTGCAAATACTTAGAGCCTGGCTGTCAGTGTTTGCTGTTACTGTAGCTGCTAGTATAAGCTCCGGTAGCTCCTGGCTGCCTTAGGCTCCCTCTACAGGCAGGGCCCAAACAATCTTTTTGTTGTTACTGTTTGTGTGTGTGTGTGTGTGTGTGTGTGTGCTGGTGGTGGGGCTTCAACTCAGTACCTGAGCACTGTCCCTTAGCTTTTTCACTCAAGGCCAGTGCTCTACCACTTGAGCCACAACTCCACTTTCAGCTTTTTGCTGGTTAATTGGAAATAAAGAGTCTTACAGACTGTCTGGGCTGGCTTCAAGTCACAATTCTCAGATCTCAACCTCCTAAGTAGCGAGAATTACAGGTGCCACAAGCACCCAACTAACCTTCCTCATCTTGAATAGCCTGCACCCCAGCTCAGCCTCTCACCTGGGTGGTGGTGTAGGCATCTCCATTGCGGTATCGGGTGACCTGCCGAGTGCGTCGGACATAATGGTAGCTGATGGCCTTCCACCAGATGCAGGGTGTAGCCTGCTGCATGCGGCCCACGCGCTCCCGCACACTGCTCACGTCCACGCGGTGCTGCAGCTCATGGCGGGCCTGGCAGTGCCAACACTCCACCAGGTAGACGGCGTACAGCATGAGCAGGAAGGCCAGGGGGATGTAGACGTAGCCATTGGAGCAGGGGCTGTCGTGGTACATGAGGCTGTTGCCTTGGTAGGCGCTGCTGAAGGTGAGGCGGGTCACCGTGGTGACGTGGCACCAGGCCACTGCCCCCAGGCAGCCGTACATGAGCAGCGAAAGCAGGAGGCACTTCCAGTGGGACTCACGGCAGAGGGACTTGGTGAAAGAGGGCTGGATGGGACGCTGCTGCTCGGACAGGGTGGGGATGTGAGACAGCGGCGGGAGACAGATGCAGGTGTGGAGGGGCGGAGGCCCGAGGCAGAGACACAGGATGTGGAAAGGAAGGGTAAGACCAGAGAAACACAGAAGTGATCCCGATGGGGGAAAGAGCAGAATGCCAGTGCGGGAAAGAAGAGAGGGAGACACCCCAGGGGGCAGAGAGGGATCAGCATGCCAGAAGTGGAAGCCCAGGAAGCAAGGAAGATACAAATGTGTAAGGTGGCACCCAGAAAGAGTCCAAAGACAGACACAACAATGGCAATGAAACAGAAGGTGTGGACAGGGAGGAAGGGAGGACAGACAAACAGGCATCAGCAAAGGTAGGTCCCGGCCCAGACCCCTTCCAAGTGCCCCAGTAAAGGGGGAGGGACCCCGATATCATTCCCCCCTTTAGCAGGTGAGGGCCTAACTTCTGGCTGATGTTTTCTGTAGTAGAGTCTAGAGAAACCATTCCCCTTTGACCCACCCATCTTGGCAACCCTCACAGTGCCTAACACTTCCTTTGGAGCTGGGAGCCCCCAAGGAAGCCTAGGCTCATATTTTCTCTTCCACCCCCCCTCCAGTTCTTAGCCCCATTCTCCTCTGAATCTTCCTGCTACCCCAGCATCCTGCCTCTCGGTTCCAGGATGGAGGGAGGGGCTGGGATCCCTGAGCAGAAGGCAGTCCAGGAGGAGCTCTCCAAAAGGACACAGACATGTGACTGGGGAGAAGATGGGACAGAGGCAGGGGGTGGGGTGAGGAGGAAGACACTTGAAGCCCTGCTGTTTGTCACAGAAAATGGTCTTTGATACTCTCCCTGGGCCTGTGTGTTAAAGCACTCGGCATATTCTGTCCCATCTTTGCCCAGTGAGTTGTTTACTTGTCTGCTGCTCCAACACACCCAGTGCTCCTGAGGGCAGGCCCCGTGCCTCTCTGTCTGCATCCCAGATGCCACCAGTAGCCACCACATTAACCAGGCTTGAGGTTGACTTCTCACAGTAGCCTCAGCTTTCCCACCCCTCCCCACACACAACCTCCTCCCGATTTCTCCCTTCAAGTTAGCTCTGCAGCCTGGCCTGGAGGCCGGCCAGGGAAAGGAAGGAAGAGATGGAAGGAGGCCCACAGTAACCTTACCAGCAGCAGGCCTGGATTCCCTGTGCATAGGTAGGTGGGACAGGAAATAGCTCACAGCCTATACCTACTCGGAGAGGAAAGGCGCTGTGCCTTCCAGGGCCCTGTCCTTGGGAGATGCGTGCACCCGTGGGTCCACTCGGGTGTATGCTGGCCCCAAGCTGGGCGCGCTGATAGGGGTCTCCCTGCAGTAACCCCTGCCGGCGTGCTCCCGCCCTGTGCCCAAGTGTGCAAAGCAGACGGGCTGGGGGGGGGGTAGCAAATCTGGTACTTTCCTTAGTCTCTTTGTCTCCAGTTTCGGAGGACTAGAGTAAGGATATGCTTAGTACCTAGACTTAAAAGAATCTGTGGACTCGGGGCCCCCTAGGGGGAGCGGCAGGGAGTGGCGGGGAGGGTGCACCCCACCCACACCCACCCTGGCACTCCTGGGACCCCAGGGGGTCCTGGCCCTGTGCACTCTGACATGTCCTGGGCTGGGGGCTCCACCTCCCCAGGTCCTGTCCCCTAGGCTCCAAAGCCCATGCAGGCGCCCTTGCTGCCTCCCCGGGCAGCACCCCGTGTCCGGGTCGGATCCGTCACCCGCCGCCCGCTCTCAGCCGCCCGGGGTCCGCGAGGCTCCGCCCCAGGCCCCTCCCCCGGCCG